TGTGGCTTCCTATGGTACATCTGTAAACCTTTTCAATAGACCTTCTTTGTGTTTCTAATCTTCTGCAAAGACTATGGTTTCTGTCAAAGTTAAAATTTAAAGAATTTTTTTAACAGTAAACAAAGTTGCAAGGTAGACTTGTGAGAGGCATTATTCAGGTCCGAAAGATGGGAGTGCTGGGAATATTAGGTCATATATCATATTAGCCCTAAGTAAGCACTGCCTAGTTTCTATCCTTGACATCCTTGATTGAGGTATCTTGGGGAATAGATCATCTGAACCTAAGTGACCACAGCTTACCCAAATAGCACCACTACCTGGTTACCAAGCATTCAAATACATTAACCTCTTGGGGACATTTCTCATTCAAACCACAACAGCAGTGAAGTATAGTTATAATGTTGACTTGTGTGGTCACATGGCCCTATTTCAAATCCTGCTATTACCACCTGTTGTTTATTTATACCATCAAATTTCAATTTAAAACATCAATAAAAATAGTAATATACGTGATTAAGAAGAGAATCATAGTCATGAAATGAGAAGACACATATGCAGAGCTGAGGATGGCATGTAGCCCATATCAAGAGATCAGCATGTTTATCATCCATGAAGCTGATATGGAGTATGGACAGATCAGGGCATTCAGATATTACATTTACTTCTCAGATTCGTCTAAAACTTTAAAATTAGTACATGATTGAGATGCTTGTAGAGAATTCACCAGAGAGGAAACAGGAGTGTCATTTTTAAGTGAAAGTATAATAAAACTTCTATGCACAATCAGTTGTCTCTTCCTTTCTTTGGGTGGCTGAGGAGTCTACATGTTCCAGACAGAGTACTTACAGATGAAATGTCCCCCTGGCCCTCAGCATTTTAGTGAAAATGTATAGTGAGGAAAAGACAAATCAATTAGCAAATCACCAAAATTTGAATAGATATTTCTTAGAGTAAATATTGCCATTAAATTCATGAAGTGGGTCTAGAGAGATGACTCAGCCCTTAAGAACATTAGTTGCTCTTGCACAAGACCCACGGTTGGTTTCAGTACCTACATGGCAGCTAACAATCATCCATAACTTCATTAACATAGGATTGTATTCCCTCTTCTGGCCTCTGTGGGCATTGCACACATGGGTGTACTTATTTAAAAGCAGGCAAAATACTTATACAATGAAAATAAAAATAACTAAATCAAAATTTTTTTAAATTTATGCAGCAGTGGTCAACGTCAGTAGCTATTAGGAAAACACCACTCAAAACCATTTTTATATATTGGTACATGTACAACACAATGGTTAAAATAAAGAGAAATATAGTTAGTTAAGTACAATATAGAAAAATAAGAATGTTGGGCATATAAAATGGTGGTCCTCAATTGAAAGGCAATGCAATTTAAGCAGACAGTTAACATACAGTTCATTAATGCTGTTAAAACAAAATGCTACAGACTGTGTGATTCTTAAGGAACAGAAATATACATTTCACAGTTCTGAGGCTCAGTGCTTGTGTCCTCAGAGTGGCAGTCTAAACTATACCTGGACTCATTTGAGTTATAGGTTGTAGAAGAGTGCTACACCAGAGGAAAGCTGATACCTTAGGCTTTCCTGGGCTCCTCTCTGTCCAC